AGCTTTGCAGAATAATAGACATCGGAATATAGTGTCCATAGTTATGTGGCATCTCCCATGTTTTTATATAGGCGACTGTACTGATGGCAGCCTGGGTTCTGAGAAGAAGTTTCGTAGAATAGGCGGTAAAACGCGTTTCTGAGCTGCTCAGAAACAACCATCATATCCGCATGTGAGCGCGGCTCATTGTGTACCATGAGAGAAGATGTGACTTGGAATGTCATGAACGGAGTCCTTTAAGACAGACTCATCTCAACTATCTCATCAATTCTCTCGATGTCGTACTCTGTGCTTTCAACTTTGGGCACGAGTTATGATAAGCAATTACGGTCTACAGCGCAAATATTTCCGGTTTCATGCCGTGAAAATGAGCAGTGATCAGTCGTTAACAGAAGGAACCGAACGGATACCAGGCTGCCCCAGTTTTGCCCACCCTTGTTTTTATCATCGACGCGGTGGGCAAATACCTTAACGAAAGCCAAGAACCTGAATCACTGCCCTACAACACGAGTGCATGGGGGCGCTAATGAGGCCGGAATAAATTAATATGCAGTAGTACCGCTGTTTATTTAACAACCGTTGTGATCGCTGACTAGAATCTACTGGTGAAAAATCCTAACAGGTTTTAAAAGTATCGTTCAGCTTCACCATTGTACGCCCTTCGCGCAGGTTCATTTAGTGGAACGGTGCTGCATTACCTCGAAAGAGGTACGATGTAAATTAATTGGGTTGCTCTAGTTGTACTGAATTCGATAGAATAGCGTTAGAGTAGCCACAGTTCACACTTATCTTGCTGCCATGCGGTTGTCTGTGTATATCCTTCACCAAGTTCCAGACAGGGACCACGAGTACAAAAACTTCTTTATATCCCTCAAACTGGGTAAGCAAACATCAATAAAATATACGTCAGCAATACCAAAACTAAGAAACGCTATGACAATGCCAGAAAAGAAAGAAAACTTATGTGTGATGATATTTTTAAAGACAGGAGTGAGATTGATAACGAATTACTGAGGTAAAGAATACAGATATAACAAAGGCATATGAGGTTACACTAAAAATATTGAGGCTAAGCAAGTTCATTACACAATATCATTACAAAAGGAATCAGTGAGTAGAAAGTAATGAAAACGGGATGTGTGCGTCGATGTCTCGGGAAGGACTGACTACAAAAGGAAACAATGAGTAGAAAGTAATGAAAACGGGATGTGTGCGTCGATGTCTCGAGAAGGACTGACTATCTGTTTGTGGGAATCCTGTTGCGAAATACTCAGTAGAGCCATTATACTCGCGAACCTTCTAGACCCTATGTCTAAACGCTGTGATAATGCCAGAAAATGTCGTCAAGAGAACTTATGTGTGATGATACTCTTAAAGACAGGAGTGAGATTGTTAACGGATTACTGAGGTAAAGAATACAGATATAACAAAGGCATACGAGGTTATACTAAAAATATTGAGGCTAAGCAAGTTCATTACACAATACCATTACAAAAGGAAGCAGTGAGTAGAAAGTAATGAAAACGGGATATGTGCGTCGATGTCTCGGGAAGGACTGACTACAAAAGGAACAGTGAGTAGAAAGTAATGAAAACGGGATGTGTGCGTCGATGTATCGGAAAGGACTGTCTATCTGTTTGTGGGAATCCTATTGCGAAAAACTCTGTAGAGCCATTATACTCGCGAACCTTCTAAACCCTATGTCCGCACGCAGGACCATCGTCGAGATCGCGAGTATTCGTGATACAATGGTTCCCCAACATCCGGACTCTGAAAATGAGTCTAGATTAGCATTCCTTCTTCTGAGTGACTACTCAGGAATATTCTGCTNGGGTTTCCCCTAAGGGGTCTTCTTTTGAGATAATTTCACTCACAATTTTGTACACTACAACTAACACCTTATTCATTACGTCTATGGGGAATGACTACTGTAAGTGATGCAACCCACTATGCCTAGATGGATTCGGAGGGTTCTCCATGTGATTGTTTATCCTCGGGTGATGCTAGATTCATTGTTTGATCGTGAATAAGCAAGGTATACTAACTTCGGTGTTATTCCGGCTTTCAAAGGATGTCTTTGGAGAGGTTCGAAGGCATTCATTAGACCGCTTTTACATGCCGTCTCTGAAGGCCTTGCGGGAGTTTTCACAATGGTCCGTGATTTTTCCAAGAGCTTCTGGAAGAATACAATAAAACGACACTCGCATAAATGACTACAAGAACATAGCAGGAGATTTTATGATATTGCATCAGATGACCAAATCGATGTTCATCTTTGACTTTTTTCTTACAGGCTCAAAAGCGTTGGAACGATGTACGAAACCGCTTGCCACCGGTTTCAATGAGTATCAGCAGCGGAGTAAGCGGATTCGAACTCGTAAAGATGTACTCGTGAATAATATTTAGAAAGATTATTCATCCATTATTGGCGCAAATGAACAAGGAAGAGGTAGCCGGATATTTTATGCTTATACGCGTGGGTAGTGACCTAACATAGAACCCTCATGGAAGCTTAAAGAAAATCCCGGGTGAAATATGGACTATTGCGAAGATTTCAACAGGAGCTTTCCAAACAACTCAATAATGGAAAATAGCTATAAGTTCCCATAAATGCTGCAAATTACTGGTAATCCTGACTTCTTGGCAGAATTTTGTGCAGAGAACATGAGAATCGAACGAAGCGACATTCGGAAACTTTCATAAAATATCGCACAAGGGGGACCGTGCAGAAGGTCCGCTAAAGGAAAATGTATTGGGCGGGATCACCTTCAGATGAACCCAAAAGGAAAATGCGCCATTCTCATTTATCTGCTAAATGAAATGCAAAAATCGGCTATCCATTAATTTTTGTTGTGTTGAAGTAATCACTCCGTTTGCCTTCGCATTACTTATTGTCGATGGATACAAAAACGGAGCTGCGAAAGAAAAGTGAAAGATGAAGTCTTCTGTCTCGGTCGACCCCGTTTTTGGGATGATTCGAGTTCCATTCGGAATCGCACCGGCATTTTGGATGCGTATGTGGCCTATACTACAATGTCTTGCAGCGGTCAGCCTCTGTACAAGACAGTGCCTTTATCCTCCCAGGCGGATCTGGCACCATTTAAAGGCACATAATTCTGGGTTATCCGGATTTTGACGAAAAATGGAAGATAAGATGGAAGATAGTGCGATAAAGGCGAAGAAACTGCGTGAATCAGTCTTAACAAACTAAAAAAGGCTTCAAAAATCGTTCAAAAAGGGCCGGACGAGAATGAGATCAGA